GCCCCTAGACCTAAAACCAAACGTACAACAAAAGCAGCCTCTTAGAGGGGTGGTAGAAAGTGGAGCCCATGAGGAGGTTGCTACACTACTAAATTAAATCTAGCAGACATCGGGGTATATGGGTGGGAAATGGGTTTTAATGGTATGAGATAATGTTGGAAGGAACATAAAACTAGATAGGGCTGAGTTTATTGATATCCATCTGAGTGGAGCTTCTAGGTTTAATATGGAAGATCACCCAATTAAAATAGGTGTCAAAAGTTTACTTGAGGCCTGCAGACATGGCTCAGAGGTTAGAGAACACTGACTGCTCTTCCAGAGGTCCTGGGTTCAATTCCCAGCAACCACATGGTAGCCCACAAAGATCTGTAATGGGATCTGATGCCCTCTTCTGACCTGAAGGCATACATGCAGACAGAATGCTGCATACTAAATAAATAAATCTTAAAAATAAATAAAGTAGCCAGGCGTTTGTGGTGCATGACTTTAATCCCAACACTCAGGAGGCAGAGGCAGGCAGATTTCTGTGAGTATGAGACTAGCCTGGTCGACAAGAGCTAGTTCCAGGACAGCATCCAAAGCCACAGAGAAACCCTGTCTCAGAAAAGAAAAAAAGTTTACTTGAATGATTGACTGAAGCTTTTATCAAAAGACAGCCTTCTGCCTCAGTGAAACTCTTAGGAGTTTGGTGGTGTGGGGTGTGCTGAGATATTCCTTCTGAAGAGAGAGATAAATTATTGCCCCCTGGATACACCCATCACCCAGGAAGAAGCACAAGGTTTCGTGGGCCCATTCAGATGCTGGAATGAGCACATTCCCCACTTGGATGTGTTACTTTGGCCCGTATCCCCAGTGAGTAGGAAACGTGCTACCTGTGTATGGGGTCTGGAGCAGGAAAATGTTTTTCAACAGATCAAGGGTGTTGTGAAGGCTGCTCTACCACATGGACCATATGAGCCAGCAGATCCGATGATGCCTGAGATGCCAGTGGCAGATAGGGATGATGCTTGGAGCCTTTGGCAGGCTGACATAGGTAAATCGTGGGCGCGACCATTGGGATTTTGAAGCAAGAATCTATCTTCATCTGCAGCTAACTATTCTCCCTCTCATAGACACCTCTTATGCCCTCCCCCCGGGGGGTGACAAGAGTGAGTGAGAGAACTAACCCTGCTGTAAGCTAGTTAGAGCACACAGGAGAGTGGGCCCTGACATCCAGCTGGGCAACATACTAGGGCTGTCCCTGTTGTCCTTGTCAGAGAAGCCATCCCTGAGGGAGTGAGAATGAAAGAGCTGACCCTGCAAACCCTCATGTGCTGCCACAGCAACTGGGAAAGAGGGTCCTGAACCTTGTCTGGGCAAAACAGTAGAGCTGGCCCTGGCAATATGAGTCAGGGGGACCAGGAACTGAGGGTCTGAGAATAGAACTGGCCCTTGAGGCTGCACTGGGTGGGCTGGCCCAGGCAATTTTGCAGAACTCCTCTGTGTCTCAAGGGGCCACAATACAGCTTCCAACACATTTTTTTTACACAGGATTATTCTTTTTGTTTGGAGGGGGGCTAGAGAGATTGTTCAGAGGTTAAGAGCACTGGCTGCTCTTCCAGAGGTCCGGAGTTCAATTCCCAGCAACCACATGGTGGCTCAACAACCATCTGTGATGAGATCTGGCATGCAGGTGTATATGCAGGCAGAACACTGTACCCATAGTAAATAAATAAATCTTTTTTAAAAAGAAACAAAAAACACAGGATTTATTCATTTCATTTGTTTTCATTTACATTTGGTTTCTTTGTTTTGTGTTGTCTTTCATTTTTCTTGTGAATTTGGTTTTGTTTGGAGTGAGGGAAGTTGCAAGGGCAGACTGCTGATGTGAGGGTACAAAGGGGATAAGTGGGATCAGGATGTGTGATGTAAAATTCACAAGAATCAATGTAGGTTGAGAGAGAGAGAGAGAGAGAGAGAGAGAGAGAGAGAGAGAGAGTGTTAGTTCTTGCCTGCTATTCAACCTTAGTGGAAACTGAATGATGGACAATGAGCCACCAAGTTACCATGTGATCTGAGCTGCCCATCATGAGCTGGGCGTTATCTGACTCACCAGCTCATGAAACAGGACATTCACAGCAGCAATTATAGACGTGGTAGATGTGAGCATGTCCTGAAGACCCAGGAAAGTTACATGAAGAAGTTGCCAAACGCAATGCTGTCTGCTGCCAAGCATTCACTTTTAGCCTCACGGTGTGTCCCTCTGAATGGTTGACTGAGGTTGCCTAGGGCCTGGTTCCCTGGTGGCTCTGCACATTATAAGACACCACCCACGCAGAAGCTGACAACTGCAGCATTGTAACCCCTTTCTGGGACAAGCCTGAAAGACACAGGAAAAGGGAATTCTTCACAGCGGACAGAACTTTAGGCAGTTCACACCGTTACACAGTTTGTTTGTTGTTCTCCAAATGGCTAAATGTGTGATTGTTCGCTGACTCGCTGGCTGTGGCCAGAGGATGGGCTGGATGGTGAGGGCCTGGAAAAAGCATAACTGGAAAACTGTAGATCTCTCCAAGTGGGCAAAGGATATGAAGATATTCCATGTAAATATTCACCCAAAGGTGGCTCAGTTTAAGAGGACTTCAGTAATCAAGTAGATAGACTGGCCCATTCTGTGGACAGTCAGCCTCTTTCCCTATCCATTCCTGTCATTGCCTAATGGGCCTGTGCACAAAGGGGCCATAGTTTCCACAAATGCTGGTTATGAATGGACTCAGCAACGTGGACTTCTGCTCACCGAGGCTGGCGTGGATACAGCTGCTCCTGAGTGCCCATAGCATAGGTCAACATGAATCCCCAGACACGGCACCATTCTGCAGAGTGTCCAGCCAGCAACCTGGTGGCAGATTAACTACATTGCACCACTTCTTCCATGGGAAGGACAATGCTTTGTCCTTACTGGAGTAGGTACTTATTCTGCTTATGGATTTGCTTTTCCTTCGTGAGATGCTTCTGCCAAAGCCACCATCTGTGGACTACAGCACGCGTTATCAACCATCATGGAATTCCACAGAGTATTCTGACCAAGGAACTCACTGCACAGCCTAAGTGCAACAGTGGGCCCACGATCATGGAATCCGCTGATCTCACCATGTTCCCCACCATCCTGAAGCAGCTGGCCTTACAGAAAGAAGGAATGGTGTTTTTGTTGTTGTTGTTGTTGTTGTTGTTTAAAGATTTTATTTATTTATTATGTATACAACATTCTGCTTCCATGTATATCTGCACAGCAGAAGAGGGCACCAGATCTCATAACGGATGGTTGTGAGCCACCATGTGGTTGCTGGGAACTGAACTCAGGACCTCTGGAAGAGCAGTCGGTGCTCTTAACCTCTGAGCCATCTCTCCAGCCCCAGGAATGGCGTTTTGATTAAATAGTTACAGGGCCAATTAGGTGGCAGCAGCCTGGAGAGCTGTGGCAGGGTTCCCCAGAAGGCAGTGTATGCTTTGAATCAGAAACCAATATATTACATGGCTTCTCTTTTAGCCAGGATCCACGTGTCCCAAGAATCAAGGGGAATCCTGTATCACCCCTAGTAACCCACTAGGAAGTTTTTTTCTTCCTGTTCCCTCAATCTTAAATTCTATTGGTCCAGAAATTTTGTTTCCAGACAAGGGAGAGTTTCTGCCAGGAGATGAAACAAACATCCCATTCTCCTAGAAGCTCAGTCTCCCCCTGCTCGCTTTTGGCTTCTAATGCCCTTAAACCAACAAGCTAGGAAAGGAGGAAATGTTTTAGGAGGAGTGATTGTTCCACGTTACCATGGGAGGAATGTTTTCCTCTCTATTTGTTTTTTGCTTTTTAACTCACTGAGTTTAACCAGGGCCATCTGTGAGACTGTGGGTTTGGAGCTATGTGTTGGGAGTCTCCTGGGCTCAGCAGAGGACGACAGCTAAAGGCAGTGATTGTCCTCCTACAATCCATCCATAGACAACATTTGAGAGGGAAAGGGTGGGCCCTGTGAGCCTTTGCCTTCTTAGACTGACTGTGGTCTAGTGTGAGGTCAATGCAGCACAGCTGCTGTTGGTTTCTGATTACAACAGCTGTATGGAGTCTAGAGAATGGCCCCTCTTACTCCCTTTCCTCCTCCTCTTTCTCAATGTTCCCAGACCATAGATGGGATTCTGTAACGGATGTTTTCTGGGCTGGGTCCACATAACTTCTTTATTTTCTGCATCTGGGAAAGCAAGAGTCTCTGCCGTCACCACTGGATCTTTTTAAAACTCATTTTTTATGTTTCATTTAATATCTTAAGCACTAGTCACAGAAGACAAACTTAAACTCGTTCCTGAATTACATCTGGGGCAGCCTGCATTGACCAATGCATTAAACTTTTTTCCCTTTGTTTTATCTAAAAGCACATTCAGCATAAGTTACAGAAGACAGACTTGTTCCTTCGTTAGAAAATAGCAAGACCACTATCCAGTAGTGAAAGCAGTACACGCAACATGAATTCAGCCCTGTTGGGGTTCGCAATAGGCTTACGACTGACTTCCACCTATTTCTTTTCAAAATCCAAGTTCCCGAAATGCCTCTTCCCCAAGCCACAGTTGCTGCAGTGTTTGGTTTTGGCTTGTCATGTTTGTGTTGGCGATGAGACGCTGGCTTCTGAATTTAGCCTGTGATCTTTTGATGTAAGTTGTAGCCCAGGAGGCTGGTAGTCGAGGTTGGGCTGTCTGTCTTTTATGTGAAGGTCTCAGCACACAGTGCGGGGTCAGACACCGGGGTGCAGCGTCCTCCTGGCTGCAGCTCTGGTCTAGGCTGCAGCAAGCGTGTGTGGAGCCTGCGCAGAGCGGGTCCAGGGCGGCCTGAGCTGTGTGCAAGGCGGCGGGAGATGCAGGGGAGGAGCGGTGAGTGGGGCGGGGACGCTAAACCGGAAACAACGCTGGGGAGGGTTGAAGTCGGTAGCCCATTGGCTGGGTGTAGAATAAGGACGGAGAATGGGTTGGGTTAGAGGAGTGACGTGCACAGGAGCTGGGGCAAAATTTGCGTGAACACTGGAAATTTGGACATTGGAGGCAAAGTCCGCAGTGCCGAGTGCCCGGTTCCCTGTCGTTGCTCGGGGTCCTGCACGGTGGGAGCCGCGCGCTGCAGACCCGGGTGCGGAGGACACGGCGGGTCCGCGGGGACCTGAGACCTCGGGATCCGCGGTGTCCGCGCTCGCGGGGCGGCCTGGGAAAGTCAGCAGTCAGCAGCGCAGTGGCGGGAACCGCAGCCCGGCGGCCCTGGAAGCTCCCAGGTCAGAGGAGC